ACCAACCTTCACCCTAACCTGATACAGTACTGTAACATTACAACATAAAAAGACACACTATAAGATATCAATCAAGGCATTAATCAAAAGTCACAAATGAATGGACAGTCACTGTAGAAATGGATAAAATTACTGTTCCGTTGGAAATAAAAACTGTTCCCTCCACTTAGTCTTCTTCAATTATCGCTTCAGTCTCCTGTTTCCTGCTTCTAATTCATGGGGCATCTTTCTTTCTTGTTCAAATCTTGTCCCTTCTTTTCCTATTCTTCGAATTCTTATCTTTGCTTAACTGTCTCCCTCTGATGTGAAAACTGGTCTATACTCAAACACAACCATCGAATATAACCCCCTTATTCCTCCTTTGCCTCTGGAATTGATGGCAGCACATGTACAATTGGTGGTAGTTTCACAATCTTGTGGTTTGGCAAGATCCATCTGAAGTGGCAGAGATGATGGACAATCCATAATGTCATGGGAATGATTATTCGAAAGTTCTCTGATTTTAAAGAACGAAGCCGTTTGAAGTATCAAAAATATTTATTGTTATTGATGTAAAAAATGTATCTGACAAATTGATAATTTGATATACATTAATCATGTTCATGATGTTAATGGGTAACAAATTTATGTGAGTGCATCATGTGCATGGTGGTGTCTAAATATTTCTTAGTTAACTATAAATACACTAAATGTTTATGTTCTTTCGACTGGGATAGTTTTTCCTTGCTGTATCATCTGCTACCGGGGTCGGGTATCGTGTCTGTTCGCTCCAAATACATGTTCGCATCCTACACATTCGCTTCCCGCATGTTTGCCCCCTGTGTCTGTTCGCATTCAAATACCAGTTAAATTATCAGATGTTTTTTTAGATGTATATATATCTGTATATAGGAAAATAGTTTATATTTTCATGAATAAAAATTCATTTAAATAAAATATTTTTTTTAATGATTTGATGAATAAATATTATTTGTTTTAAATAATTGTTGGAATGTATGATATTATAATGAATAACTAGAGGCTCCCAAGAGCCTGTGTCGCTCACCTGTATCGACTGTTGTTTTCGAAATCATGTAAAATAATTAAGGTTAAAATCATAATTAATAGTATTAGATACCCTAATAATGAATGCATGAGGCCAAGTAATTGAAGTTTGGTTTAATTTGGCTCAGTAGTTAAATTAAAATCAGGCCATCCCATTGTAGTCTTACATTAGTTACTGAAGACCCCTTATCATTATTCAAATTAGTTTTCAAGTTGTGACCATTTGAAATTGGTTTTTTTACAATTTTCCCTTAGAATTTTATAGTAAACCCCTATGTTCTATTTTTAGCCATGGCGGCCATGTTGGTTGGATGACAGGGTCATCGGATACATTTTTCAATCAAGATACCAAATTTGAAAATTGTGGCTAAGATTACATTTTGTAATTCTATTTGGCCCAGTAGATTATTAAGTGAAGATTTAGTAAAAGATTACAAAAATTTACGGAAAATTTACTATAAAGGGCAATAGCTCCTTAAGGGTCAATTGACAATTTTGGTTATATTGACTTATTTGTAGATGGTACTTTGCTGAACATTATTGCTGTTTACAGTTTATCTCTATGTATAATAATATTTAAGATAATAACCAAAAACTGCAAAATTTCTTTAAATTTTCCAATTCAGGGGCAGCAACCCAACAATGGGTTGTCTGATTCGTCTGAAAATTTCAGAGCAAACCTAATTAACATTTATAACCAATGTCAGATTTGCTCTAAATGCTTTAGTTTCAGAGATATTATAAGCCAAAAACTGCATTTCACCCCTATGCTCTATTTTTAGCCATGTCGGCCATGTTGGTTGGCAAGCGGGGTCATCGAACACATATTTTAAACAAGATACCCTAATGATGATTGTGGCCAAGTTTGGTTAAATTTAGCCCAGTAGTTTCAGAGGAGAAGATTTTTGTAAAAGTTAACAGACGTTGACGACTGACACCAAGTGATGAGAAAAGCTCACTTGGCCCATTGGGCCAGGTGAGCTAAAAATAAATTAAATTTATATCTTAAGTTCTTCTTTACACTCAAGCTTCTTTTCATATGGAAATAGATCCTCTATATCGTAAATGATAGCTGTAATACAACACCAAATAAGCATATATCTACGAGTACATTGTACATATATCAATGTATATATCATGTATATATATATTTGTACATTGTACATGTAGCTTCAATCTTCTGTACACATGGAAATAAAAGCTCTGTAGGTACTTGAAGCTGATATATATACAACACCATGAACACCTAAAAAAACATTTACCAAGTCTCCCAAGTGGATTCTGATGCCAATCTATTTGCTGATGACACCAAGATCTTCAGAGTAATAAAGACTCAACATGACAGAGAAATTCTACAAGAAGACCTATATTAGATGGAAACATGGAGTGACAAATGGCTACTCAAATTTCACCCTGAAAATATGTAAGAAATCAAATAGCACATACAGTGTACCACTCAACTAATTACAGTCTACTATATCATACAATAGCAAAGGTTAAAGAGGAAAAAGATATAGGAGTCCTAATTGACTCAGAACTCACTATTTAAAATCACATAAGCGAAAAAGTAAATAAGGCCAACTTAACTAATATTTGCAGTTCTCAGAAAAACTTTTAAATACTTGGGTAAGTAGACATTCGTACCATTGTATAAACATATAACCATGGTCAGAACTCATTTGGACTATGCTAGTTCAGTCTGTTCTCCATACAAGAAAAAAGATGTTGACAAAATAGAAGGAGTCCAAAGAAGGGTAATAAAAACAACTACCAGGTCTCAAAGACATGAGAGGGGCCTCGGTGGCCGAGTGGTCTAAGTAGTTACTACTGTAATCACTAGCCAGTCAACACTGAGGTTGTGAGTTCGAACCCCGCTCATGCACTCGACTCCAATCTTAATTGATGAGGATTGTCAGTTTTCCTATCGAAGGTCTGTGTTTTTCTCCGGGCGCTCCGGCTTCCTCCACCAATAAAAACTGGCCGCCACGAAATAGCCCAAAAGCGGTGCTTAAAAGTGGCATTAAAACACCAAAAATCAAATCAAAGACATGAGCTATCCATAGAGACTTAAAAAACTAGGCTTACCTACACTATCATATAGAATACGAGGGGATATGATTGAAACCTTCAAAACTATCAATGGCTACTATGATAAGGAAGTAAGCTCCATCCATAAATACCTTTAAAAACCGATTAGATAAATATTAGTCTGATGAAGAGCTCTATTAGTATTACAATGACTATAGAGCAGAAATATCTGGTAATCACGGACAAAACAGTAATAGAAATAACTGAAATTATGAGTCTGGTGAAGAGGAACCTTAGGGATCCTGTACTGGAAATCAACTAAAAGTAACTATGTCATTTGTGGCCCGTTACCCAGAGTTTGCGAAAACCGTCGGTCCTGTCGGTCCTGACCGCCAAAATGAGACTCGGACCAGTATTTTGAAGGCTAGTGGCAGTCCCGATGACCGATGTAAAAACGGCCGTTGCAGTGCCTATGTCGGCAATTTTTTACATCGGTAATTAGATGTTCCCGTGACTATTTCCAGTACGTGTTTTACATCGGTCATCAGATGTACCCACGGCTAATTTCCGGTACTGGTTTCCGAATTCTATTATAAACAAATCAAAGCGGCGATCTACACATGGCCTATTAAATTTTTTCATGGAGCCATCCCTGGCAAACAATGGGCGGTGGAACCCTCCGATGAAACCAACAATTACTGTCACAACCGAGAATGTGATTCAGATGATGAAATGGATATATAGTGAAGATGACTTTGAATTAGAACAATCAGAAGACCAGAACTGGTCCTTCATTGTTAATTTGCCTGTGGCTGTGAAGAATATAACTTATTTAAATAAAGTTATTTTTCGATAAAATATGCTATTAATTTTATTTCAGGATAAAATTTGACAGATTTTGTAGGACTGGCAAAAATTTTGTAGGACTGACAAATAATCTTGCTTAGTCAGTCCTATGATCGACGGGTCAAAAAAGGTTTTCGCGAACTCTGTGGTACCTCGAATGACCGAATAACACTGTTATTATCAGAATAACACTTGTAATGACCGAATAACACTTGAAATTTTAATATTAGCACATATTGGTAACTTTTAAACATTGATTAACAAATAATAGTATATTATTAATGTATTTTATAACTTAAAAATAATTTACAGAAAGCAGGTAAGTTCATAAAGATTATTTTAAATATAGTGCGTACATCCAACATGGCGACCAAGGAAATCACAATGGTCGCCATGATGGATGTACACACTAAATTTAAAACGATCTTTATGAACTTACCTGCTTTCTGTTAATCATTTTTAAGTTATAAAATACAATTATAATATAACATTATTTAATAATCAATGTTTAAAAGTCACCAATACAGTATGTGCTTATATTAAAATTTCAAGTATTATTCGGTCATTACAAGTGTTATTTGGATAATAACGGTGTTATTCCGTCATTTGTGTTACCCTTTGTGGCCCGGTTTTTGTGTTATTCGTTGTTGTTTCTGGCTATATATATCAAACCCTAAAATGTCCCGGCTGGCCAACAGGAAGTGGACCTGCGAAACCCTAATTAAAATGGCTGCGCCCACGGGAAATTTTACAACTACAATAATGTATAGTAGTCTGTAAGTAGAAAAGATCTCTAGCAAAAGTGACCACCATAATTTACATACATGTATGTTTCAATATCTAGTATTGTACAGTGTAAAGTTTACTGTCTGTTGGCTTTGTTTCAGATTTAACTTGGCAGTCAATTATTCTGACATTGCAAAAGGCTCATTCATCCTTAACATTTCAAGAAATCTGACAAAAAGTATGTGAAAAAATATGGGAATGTCATGAATGGAAATCAAGAACAGACCTGATATTTTCCAGATAATAATGAATGCAAGAATATCTAGACAATGTGGGATAAAAAACTTGTAACTTACTGATCTATAATTGTCTTCCATTATGAAAATTACACATTAACCGTAAAAACAAAACGTGTTGATTCTGTAATCCTTTGACATGTGCATCGTTTCAACTGTAAACAAACTTGACAGCAACTTTGACATCCCGCCGGACATTTGAAGTTTTCTGTTTTCTTATTGGTCAAAAATAAAAGCTTGAATTTAAAACGGATGTTAAAAATTGAATTTAATCATAATTTGTCTATAATTATCTTTAATTACTAGAACTGAAATAAAATTATTGGTTTTGAATCAAATTATTCGTTTTCGAAATAAAAATAAAACTGCGATCCTGCATTATCCATATTTATTTGCACTTCCGCTAACTTGAAAGAGCACTTATGACTAAATTTTATCCTTAAATTTATATATATTTGAAATGGCTGCATTATTTGCTTGTACAAAGTGTCACAGGAGACACCCTTTTGACGAATTATCTTCAGCTGAACAACTGTGCAAAGTATGACACCCAGCGATTTGTAAATTTATACGATCTTACTGACCCATCACGGCATCAGTAAATAATTTGCATGATTTAACACCGTCAGCTCAAGATTTTCCTCTTATAACTTTCTATTTCTTTACTCTATTTTTATCGCAATTAGCTGATTAGTAACCATTATTTGTTTTCAACTGCAGAAAGTATTTTCAAAGGTTATTTTTGATGAAATATTGCTGTTGTCTATGATCATGATGATATGAATTAATGATTGTTCCTTGCATTGGCTAATTGGATGAAGAAAACTCAGTATAGCAGATTGGCTTTGTTGTCTCCCTTGAATGTAGTTCCATTATTTAATTTTTACTGATAAAAGAGACGACTCATCTCAACTTGTGTTTTGATAATCACAGAATTTTATTTTTAATAGACATTATACAATTAATTCCAAACTGTAAAATTATATAATTACACAATCAAAGGAATATAATTTGTTAATTAGAATGGTGAAGTAATGATAAAAAAAATCAATGCAAGTCTATGATACTAGTATTTAATTAAGAAATTCCAAACTTTTTTGTAAAGATTTGCAAAACAATTCATAAAAATATTTGTAAATTGTATATTTTTTCAATCTAAAATTCAATAAAATTCTATATTCTTAATGGTACAAGTTTGCAGTGGTATGAGCTCATAATGGTACAAGTTTGCAGTGGTATGAGCTCATAATGGTACAAGTTTGCAGTGGTACAAGTTAAAATGTAACATTGGTACAAGTTGACTTTTAGTGGCTTGCTTCCCTATGATATGACTCCCTGATCTGGCCTAATCCATGACAACTTGCACCACTCATATGTTAAGGAGGATGGGGAGTCTTAATTAAAATCCATAGAATTTTTTATAATTTGTCAAAATGTAGTTTTTATCATGCATTTTTACAAAATACAATAAAAAGTATGGGTCACCAGACTATTTTTCGCACTTCAGATTGTGCAAATTGTCAGATTGTGCAAAATCGTCAGATTTTGTATAGATTATGCATGGAAAATCCACTTTAGTTGTGATAAAAAGAAAACTACCCCTTAGAATTTCAAGATAAAATGTGAGAAGATAGCTCTTATAACATGGTTTCAGATAAGAAAAAGTGGGGTCACTAGACTTGTTTTCTTGCTACATATTAAAATAAGTAAATTCACAACACTTTCTAATAATAAAAATTACTTTATCTGAGTTATCTCCCCTTATGTGGCAAAGTTGAAAAAAAAAGAATCAAACAAAAATATTGTGTGTTTTAGAAAATACAGCCATAAATATGATTAAAGATTAGAGCTAAAATATGTGTCAATTGTCATCTGCTACTTCAAAATCCAAGATGGAGGAAGACACCCCAGCCACCTTAACCAACTCTCCCCAATTTCTATCAACTTGCACTACTCATGTTAACCAACTCTCCAGAATTTCTAGCAACTTGCACCACTCATGTTAGCCAACTCTCCCTACTTATGAAAAGTAGTAAAGCCTGATAGATAAAGGTCTGCAAACACACCCCACTTTCCGCTGAATTTGGGTCTATCAACTCGCCCCACTCATGAAAAAGAGTTAAATCATTCATTCAATAAATCCTACAGGTTCCGGGCCCATGTGGTAATAATGGATCCAAGGTCTTCATTTGTAGACACGGTCCTGTGTGTTTAACCGGTCAACCAACCAATCAATCCAGCAAGCAATCACGAGGGGGAAAGACGGGTTACAATTTGTTTTTAAAACAATTGATTTATTATATATTGGGTTTATCTCTAATTTGGTTTGTTGAGAATTGAAGATATATATATATCATTTACATGGTCCCACAGACACATTCTTTATTTATATTTTAAAGTGAATCTCGCTTCTCTTACCACGTTTACAAAGGTATACAATAGTTACAGAAAATTAGAAAAGCACTTTCGGACAAACCAAATTTAATAAGGATGTCGTCGGGTCAGGTTTAGGATTTGTTGTCAGATTTTCAGGCTCCTTGGGTTTTTTCCTACAATACAGGGTAAGATATTTTGCCCCATAATCACCCTCTTTTTTTTCAATAGAAGACTTCAACAGCTCATTAAAAGGTCATTACCAATATTTAAGCAGATTCTAGTTTTCTACTTACGATTTAAGACCCAACTAATGCCATTGATAAATATAAGGTAAAAGTCTGAGTCAGCCTTTTTCCCGCCATTTTTTAAAACAAAATATTTCAAAAAGAGTTCCATAACCTATCAATATTTTTATCTTATTTTGTTCCTTAACAAATGGTCTTCTGACTTATGTCAATTTAAATTCTATATATTTTTAATTTCACCTGACTACATCCTTAAGTGTCATTTTCAATTGTTTTTACATTCATATTGACAGAGTCTGATTCAGACCCCCTCCCCCTTTATTTGATGCGGAAAAAATAAGTTTTTTTTCATAAAATCGAAAACAAAATTTTTGCCTCGCTACACTTTGCAGATATTTGACCTATTTCAATTATTAGATTTCCCTCTTTCATTTGTCTTTGCTACAACTTATGCTTTTATATTTTCCTATTTCACTAACATGATTAAAATCAAAATCCTCAATTTTTTTTTAACTGCTTGATAAGTGTAAAGCTGTATGTGTGTTCTACCAAAAAGCCGCTCTGTGAATATTATAAAACTCAATGCTGTAGTTTACACTGGAGTCTTCACGATAAACTTTTGAAATCCACAGGCTGGGAGCTCAATTTTTAGAAAATTTTGGTTAGATTCTGTTGGCCTGTAGAGATGATGTTTAAAGGCCTGGGCTGGTGGGCCTGTGGTTAAGCGTGAAGACTGCCTGAGGAGCTTAGTCATTAAAGTCGTTTAAAAGCACTTTTTAAGACAGAAAACTATTTTCAATCCGACATCATGATTACATTAAAGGCTGGAATTTGTAACTCAGGACACAAACATGATCTCTGCTGCTGAGTTCTCATCTTGTATAGTTCTGATACTTTTCAACTTCAAATGTTTCCTTTTATGAGATAAGCCTGCTTCGAACTGCAAGTGTTTTTGAAACTGTCATATTTGGCAGACTAATTTAAAAGATCAGATGACCAAAATGGTATTTGGGATTTAGGACATACACAATTTAAGAAAATAATGCATTTTAGGTAATTGTTTTATGATTGTTTATATTGTCACTTGGTTATAAAACAGTGGGTATGAATTCCACCAATGATTCAAAGTTATTTTCATTTCAGGCAATGGAACAATGAAATTACCCAAAGCCATTGGGATTCAGAAAAACAATAAATCATTATTTTTCTATCCCTTGTATTGCACAGGTTTAATTAACAATGATTAATATAAATCTTTGGTTGTATTAATTATATAGTTTAAGTGATCTTGCCAATTTATTTTTCAGGAATGCAGAAATTACTACCCCATAGTAAAGTGTACTTATTGTAGAATTGAATTCCAACAGGAAGAGTAAGTTTGTATATTTAACATTAATCTCTAAACATAATCTCTAAACATAACCTAAAAGCATAGAACAGAAGTTGGAATTTGGATGGCTTAACAAAAAGAGATATGGGTATAATCAATATTGAAACAGTCACCAAAAGGATTCAAACCAATCAAATACTGTATTTATCATGTCAATAAAAAATCATGTAAATAGTAGTTGCGTTTGATACTATTACAAGTGATTTTCAGCTGTTATACAATACATGTTCTTATGTACATGTGTAAACTGAATATTAAATCAGAAATTTGAAGCTGTTATGTGTACGTTGTTTGTGAAATTTGTTATTTTAAAGTAAATAACAAACAGCGCTTTTGATTAAAGAAACAGATATTTTGTGCTTTGGTCTTTAAAGGAGAGCTGTCACAACTTTTAGATCTAATTTTGAATGTTAAATCCTAGATACAAAGATTTAAACATGTTAAAGGAGAGCTGACACATATTTTGCTGTTATATTTAATGTTAAATTCTAGTTACAGAGATATAAAGGAGAGCTGACACATCTTTTTAGCTCTGATATTGAATATTAAATCCTAGTTACAAAGATTTAAAGGAGAGCTGACACATATTTTGCTGTAATATTTAATGTTAAATTCTAGTTACAGAGATATAAACATGATAAAGGAGAGCTGACACATCTTTTATCTCTAATATTGAATGTTTAATCCTAGTTACAAAGATTTAAAGGAGAGCTGACACTTCTTTTAGCTTTGATATTGAATGTTAAATCCTAGTTACAAAGACTTAAAGGAGAGCTGACACTTCTTTTAGCTCTGATATTGAATGTTAAATCCTAGTTACAAAGACTTAAAGGAGAGCTGACACTTCTTTTAGCTTTGATATTGAATGTTTAATTCTAGATACAAAGATTTAAAGAATTTTAGCGGTAACAAGAATATATTTTAGCTGATATTCAAAATGACTCTAAGGTTTAAACGTACATACCAGATAAATTTCAATATCACAAGAAAAACCAATGCAATTTCTGCCTCCAAATATTTGAAGGTGTATATATCGTGTCAACAAAATGCAAGGATCCTGAATAGGTCTTGAAAACAGAAAGTAAAACAGAGCGTAGACTTAAGATATGGATCCTAATCAGATTGGTCATTTTTACAAGGTATAACATATAATGATTTAGCAAATTCTATTTTTTTTTTACAGCAAAACCAGTACAAATTCTATCTGCAAGAAGTGTGCTCAGAATGTCAAACTGTATGGAAAGGTATGAAAAAAAGAAGGTGTGAGGAACACGTCAATGAGACAGCAACCAAACAACACAAACAATAAAAAGACATCTAGAGCATGTAGAGGTCAAGATATAGTTTTTAGAAATAGACAGGTGTCTATACAATATGTCAAGCTCTAAACAGTCTAAAAGTCAAGAAATTATTTAACGGGACAAACATAGATATGTCATAAACACCAATTTCTCCAATTAAAATACAAAAACACATTAAGATAGACAAAGACAACTGCTGTGGGAATCCTGACTTGGGACAGTATCAGACCGGTCTTGACATTCATAAATAGACCCAAAACCTGCAGGACCTTTCAATATCAACCTATTAAGTTTGATTGATCACCATTTAAAGTTTTGGCTCATTGAAAATTTCTAATAAGGCCATAACAAAAAAAAAATAGATTTTTTCAGAGCGTAATCATAGTCATGGAAATCAGACAATGAAGACTGTAAACCAACGTATTTTCATGGATACTTTATTTCTCGTTTAGCCCTTTCTAGCCCACATCCTGGCGATTGACTTTCACAATTTTCAAATAAATTTGATTTAGTTGAATAACATGAATAAGGAAAGATCCAAATTTTACATATTCATGACTGTTTATATTCGCGTTATTTTTCTAAAGGGGAAAGTCACAAAAATAAATTGCTACCAAAATTAGTTGGTTAACAGTAAGTCTGGGAGAATTGTTTGGGAACAGATGGTTTCACAATAGAATATCTTTTTTTAGGAGAAAAAATAAGTGCTGATCCTTGGTCACTAGAAGAGGGGGTGTAGTATGTAAAAAATTTAATTATTTTTTTTCGATTTTAAGGAAGTAGCTAGTACACAACGGCCTGAATCTGCCCAAGAAAACATTTGTGAACTTTAATTTGACATGTTAAATATTTTTAGATTAGCGTTTTATTAGTTGAAGTGTGTATGACCGATTTTGGGGTAAAGATTGAATTCATGCAGTTATATCCCTTATTGGGCTGGCTTGATATTTATCAATTTTCCAGACTTAATCACCACTTTTGAAATAAACAAAACATAGTACATTCATTGAATATTTCAAGAAATTTATCAAAGAAATAGATTCTCAGACATTCAAGTTCTGAAATGATGTGTATGTGTATAACAATACTTTTCAAGATAAATTACATAAATTGTGCATAGTATCTGTTCTAAAAGTATCAATGATGTTATTATTAAAATAATATTTAAAATTTGAGTTATCTTCTTTTGTCCATAATTGAAGTCGAACTAACTACAGTTACATCTGTTATCCATAGTACTACATTCATATTCTACGTACTTATGCAAGGTTTGATTTTTTAGTTCCCTCTGTTAAATGAATGTTATCTTATCCTTCAGTACTAGCAAGCACTTTGATTGTAAAGATTGTCATTGCTGATAACTTTTTCTTTCAGCCATCAGCCTGTGAATATTGTAATATCCTTGCTGCATTTATTGGAAACAAATGTCAGAGATGTACTAACTCGGAAAGGAAATGGGGTGCTCCGAAAACCTGTGAACAATGTAAACAGAAATGTGCTTTTGAAAGAACAGACAACTCAACTAAAGTATGTATTTTCTTTATCAGTCAGGGCTCAGAAATAAGGGCTATTCCATTAAAATGTATGTGGGAGGGTAGGAAGGGACTTTCAAAATATCCCTACAACCAAGAACCATTTTTTAGATAATTTTGCATAATGGTAATAGATGCATACTGAAAAAAGACCCATGACCCACATTCAATAATTAAACTTCCCTTCCTACCCTCCCACATACATTTTAATGGAATAGCCCTAAGCAAATCAGCTTTTAGAAGTCAAATCATGTATTTTGATAAAATTTGAACATGTCTAAGTCAGAAAATGACAGTCTTGTTTCAGTCTATTTATGTTTTATAAAACAGGATGAAAACACATTATAAGACTTTGTGGTCAAAGTACATCACCTATGTCAATAAAAATTTTTCTGAGAATTTACAACATGTATAAGTACCTGAGCTATCTACAAGCAATGATCTGATTGAACAGTTTTTAGTTTACATTTAAGTTTTTTTTCCAATTTTAGTTGTTATAAATGATTGCATCAGAAAGAGAATGGACAATGTCTCTTTTTTTCAGAATCAAACTCATATTTTTCTCTAGAAGACAACGCATTGCTTAACAATGTTGTCTCAATTTCATGTAGGTGCAAGACCTTTTTATGTATGTACATAGGTCTTGAAGTTTACCAATTCTTGTAACTTTTTGACTTGGAAGAAGTCATTTATTGCAACATTTTGATAAAGGTCAAATATTGTTTGCTTAACATTATTTGACTTGTTGGAGTCTTATTTTGTTTTAAGATAAAGGGAGAGAACCCATGCACATTTAGACCTCTACAAGTCAAAAGCAAAATTTGACTTATTTATGTCTGAGCTCTGACTGTTTATGGAGGGTTAATAGGGTGCTCCTAAAATTGTGAACATGTAAACAAAAATGTGTGGTTGAAAGAACAGACAACACAACCAAATTTTATATTTACTCTATAATTTCGGAAATAGGATGCTTCTGAAATGTGCGAAAATATAAATGTGTATTTGAAAAACAGATATCTTGGCAATATCAAAAATTGATCTGAGAATTATACGTCCCAACAATCGTTGAATAAATTGAATTCCCTGATGTACATGATGTATTCATAGAACTGGCTAATGTTTTTTATAATAGGAACCAGATCACAGGACTAACTGAGCTGTTTAAAAAATGATCAACTTGCTAATGTAGTTTGCTTTATACTAAAGTGCAATACTTCTGGAGAAAGATAGTAACATTTTCTCATGTTTATTTTCTCAGGTTGATGGAAAATTAATGTGCTGGTTGTGTACAGTAGCCTATAAACGAGTGCTGGCTAAAGCTAAGTTAAGGCAGGAAGTATCAAGAAAGAACTTTGGGTCTCAAAAACAGTCATCAGAAAAATCAGAAAAATCTGAAAAATCAGAACAAATTGACAAATTTGATAGTATAATGAACAAAACTACGGATGAAAACAAGCCAGGACCTAAAACTGAAAATACAAGTAGTTCTGTTACTGAAAGTCAGGAGAGTACTGGTAGTCAGGATGAGAAATCTAGTGAACGGAAGCCTCATAAACATCATAAACACAAACATCATCATCATCACCACCACCACAAACATAAACATCACCACAGTCAAAAGTAAGTATTGGTGAGGAACACATCACCACAGTCAAAATAAAGTATTGGTGAGGAACACATCACCACAGTCAAAAGTAAGTATTGGTGAGGAACACATCACCACAGTCAAAAGTAAGTATTGGTGGGGAACACATCACCACAGTCAAAAGTAAATAGTGGTGAGGAACACATCACCAGTCAAAAGTAAGTATTGGTGAGGAACACATCACCACAGTCAAAAGTAAGTATTGGTGAGGAACATATCACTACAGTCAAAAGTAAGTATTGGTGAGGAACACATCACCAGTCAAAAGTAAGTATTGGTGAGGAACACACACCACAGTCAAAAGTAAGTATGGTGAGGAACACATCATCACAGTTAAAAGTTAGTATTGGTGAGGAACACATCATCAGTCAAAAGTAAGTATTAGTGAGAAACACATCACCAGTCAAAGTAAGTATTGGTGAGGAACACATCATCAGCCAAAAGTAAGTATTGGTGAGGAACACATCACCAGTCAAAAGTAAGTATTGGTGAGGAACACATCATCAGCCAAAAGTATGTATGGTGAGGAACACATCACCAGTCAAAAGTAAGTATTGGGGAGGAACACATCACCACAGTCAAAAGTAAGTATTGGTGAGGAACACATCATAACAGTCAAAAGTAAGTATTGGTGAGGAACACATCATCACAGTCAAAAGTTAGTATTGGTGAGGAACACATCACCACAGTCAAAAGTATGTTTTGGTGAGGAACATGTCATCACAGTCAAAAGTAAGTATTGGTGAGGAACACATCACCACAGTTAAAAGTAAGTATTGGTGAGAAACACATCATTACAGTCAAAAGTAAGTATTGGTGAGGAACACATCACCACAGTCAAAAGTAAGTATTGGTGAGGAACACATCATCACAGTCATAAGTACGTATTGGTGAGGAACACATCACAACAATCAAAAGTAAGTATTGGTGAGGAACACATCACCAGTCAAAAGTAAGTATTGGTGAGGAACACATCATCACAGTCAAAAGTACGTATTGGTGAGAAACACATCACCACAGTCAAAAGTAAGTATTGGTTAGGAACACATCATTGCAGTCAGATGTATGTATTGGTGAGGAACACATCATCACAGTCAAAAGTAAGTATTGGTGAGGAACACATCATTACAGTCAAAAGTAAGTATTGGTGAGGAACACATCACCACAGTCAAAAGTAAGTATTGGTGAGGAACACATCACCACAGTCAAAAGTGAATGTTGGTGAGGAACACATCATCACAGTTAAAAGTTAGTATTGGGGAGGAACACATCACCACAATCAAAAGTAAGTATTGGTGAGGAACACATCACCAGTCAAAGTAAGTATTGGTGAGGAACACATCATCAGCCAAAAGTAAGTATTGGTGAGGAACACATCACCAGTCAAAAGTAAGTATTGGTGAGGAACACATCATCAGCCAAAAGTATGTATGGTGAGGAACACATCACCAGTCAAAAGTAAGTATTGGGGAGGAACACATCACCACAGTCAAAAGTAAGTATTGGTGAGGAACACATCATAACAGTCAAAAGTAAGTATTGGTGAGGAACACATCATCACAGTCAAAAGTTAGTATTGGTGAGGAACACATCACCACAGTCAAAAGTATGTTTTGGTGAGGAACATGTCATCACAGTCAAAAGTAAGTATTGGTGAGGAACACATCACCACAGTTAAAAGTAAGTATTGGTGAGAAACACATCATTACAGTCAAAAGTAAGTATTGGTGAGGAACACATCACCACAGTCAAAAGTAAGTATTGGTGAGGAACACATCATCACAGTCATAAGTACGTATTGGTGAGGAACACATCACAACAATCAAAAGTAAGTATTGGTGAGGAACACATCACCAGTCAAAAGTAAGTATTGGTGAGGAACACATCATCACAGTCAAAAGTACGTATTGGTGAGAAACACATCACCACAGTCAAAAGTAAGTATTGGTTAGGAACACATCATTGCAGTCAGATGTATGTATTGGTGAGGAACACATCATCACAGTCAAAAGTAAGTATTGGTGAGGAACACATCATTACAGTCAAAAGTAAGTATTGGTGAGGAACACATCACCACAGTCAAAAGTAAGTATTGGTGAGGAACACATCACCACAGTCAAAAGTGAATGTTGGTGAGGAACACATCACCAAAAAAAGTAATAAATAGTTAAAGGTCACATCAACTTGAAATGTAGTACACATGTTCATTATGAAATGAACTGTTTAAAATATATGCCAAATAAGGGTTTTGACCCATATTTTATGCTTCACTGAACATAGAAGTGCTACAATGCAAGCTGGGGCATTGTGTCTTATGTTCACAAGTTCTTGTAAATCATATTTTATCATGATAATTCATTAACCCATTCATGTAAAGATAAAAGGTGAAAGGTAAAATTCATTAGGAATCAATATCAACTATAGACAAGTACAGTTAAAAAATTTGAAATAAAACAAATACGGTAATGCTAAAATGCACTCTCAAGTTGATATCCTTCCATGGATAACCCATTAAAGCATTTCTGCTTATTTCCAATGGGGTCATGAAAGTGTATTTAGTTTAAATTAGAAAATTACAAAATATTGAGGAGGCATTACATTCACTGAATTTTAGTCAGAAGTAAAGATACATGTATTATAATTAGTTTCTGTGTTTAAATAAGTCACAAGTAAAGATACATGTATAATATTTAGTTTCTATGTTTTCGTCACAAGTAAAGATACATGTATTATATTTAGTTTCTGTGTTGTAGTCACAAGTAAAGATACATGTATTACATTTAGTTTCTGTGTTTTAGTCACAAGTAAAGATACATGTATTATATTTAGTTTCTGTGTTTTATAGATCAAGTGAACCAAATACTCCAACAGCAGCACAAACTCCACCCAAGAAACCTCGGTTAGAGACAAACTCATCCACTAATGGTGTTACACCAACAAAAAGGTAAAATATAGAGATTTAATTCTGTGTATGTCAAGATACACACTTATATGTACATAGTTGAGTAGTTTGTGGCACTATATATATACTACCTCCAGTAGTTTTAACTGTGTCATTAAAGTATTTATAGTGGAGTTTAGAGTTTGTTTCTGCATGTATTTCATTTAAAAGAGGTTTTGAAACTGTTAAGTAAGTTTTTATTTCAAACACCAGATTTAAGTGGTCAGAAATTGCAACCTAAATTTTAATGAAATGTTGAGCATTTTAAAAAATCTATGGTTTCCCGATTTTTAAAAATGCCTATCTAAGTTTATGGTTCTATATAAGATGAGCCTCAAACTCATTAAGATAACTGTCCGGTCATCACCAATTTTTTTTTTTAAAGTTAAGACGGTTAAAAATTTAGTTTTCTTTTCATCTTCTCATGCCATAAGACTTGATTCAGAAAGAAACTGTGATTATGATCACTAAAAATCTTACGATAAAAACTGATTGTGAAATAGATATAAGAAGATGTGGTATGAGTGCCAATGAGACAACTCTCCATCCAAGTCAAAATTTATAAAAGTAAACCATTATAGGTCACAGTACGGTCTTCAACACGGAGCCTTGGCTCACACCGAACAGTAAGCTATAAAGGGCCCCAAAAATTACTAGTGTAAAACCATTCAAACGGGAAAACCAACAGTCTAATCTAGATAAAAAACGAGAAACACTTATGAACCACATCAACAAACGACAACTGCTGAACATCAGATTCCTGACTTAGGACAGGTGCAAACAAATGCAGCAGGTTTAAAAGTTTTAATGGTACCAAACCTTCACCCTTTTTCTGAAACAATATTGTAACATCACAACATAGAAAGACACACTATAAAATATCAACTGAAATAGCTTAACTCAATGAAAGGACATATTAACACCAGTGAACATACACTGAACAAATAAATTTGACCTATGATACAATGTAAATACAAAATAAATAAACTAAAGGAAGAATAATAAAAGTAACATGTCATATTGGTATGAAATGTTAAACAATTTAAGAAAAACAATATGTTGGAACAAAAATATCAGCCATTTGCAATAACTTTTAACACAGGTAAATGAAAATAATTTTGTTGTTAGGTATACGTGTACAGCTCCAATAGAGAAAGGAAATATTTTTACAAAATAAATAATTTTGATGTTCATAGTACGAAGTGAAAATTTATAGTAATACCGAACACTTATCAAAGCTGGTATGTGAAATGTTCATTTATGTAAGTCCACTTTTATTCATAAGAACCTTTTGTGAAAAAAGTCCCTGACCTTGTTTCTCTCCACAATATGGTATCATCATGCCTGAAAATGAAAAGCCTCTGGACTTTTGTGAAAAATCTCCATTGAGACCTCTGTTGAGTACCTGATATTTAAATGGAACAGACCTCATCGACTATCTACAGTCCCAGTTTATTAGATCTGGACTTTTTGCACTCCATATGCAGTTTCTCAGCACTTTAAAACATACTACTTTGTATCGATCTGATGAGTTAAGGGGTTACATAACACTTAAACGACTTAACTCTTAAAAATCAGCTGAACGTTTAGATTGAATACTATAAGTAAAGAGAAATCAAGCTTCTCAGAGATCAAAACTAGTGTTTGTCAAACTGCTATACATCCAATGATATTATTCCTGTGAATTGTGTGGTTCAAATTTCTTCAAATTTTTTTGTTATTGTCAACAGGTCAGAATATAATGAATATATAAGGGCAACATTTTCCACTTTAAGATCATCTAATCCTGGTTGAACTCTCACAAACATGTTTAACCCTTCAACATTCTTTATGTGCCTGTCCCAAGTCAGGAGCCTGTAGTTCTGTGGTTGTCATTGGTTCTTGTGGCATCAAGACTAATCTCATATTTAGATTTTCATGCAGTCCTTAATTTAGCAAAATAAAAAATTTAACCAGAAATTCTGTTACTGGTAATCATTTTGTTGGTCAATTAGGGACCTTAAAAAAGCCCCAATATGTACCATCTCCCTCCAGTTAATGACACTAATATGTACCATCTCCCTCCAGTTATAAATGACACTAATATGTACCATCTCCCTCCAGTTAATGACACTAATATGTACCATCTCCCTCCGGTTAATGATACTAATATTTACCATCTCCCTCCAGTTAATGACACTAATATGTACCATCTCCCGGCCCTCCAGTTAATGATACTAACATGTACCATCTCCCTCCAGTTAATGACACTAATATGTACCATCTCCCTCCAGCTAATGACACTAATATGTACCATCTCCCTCCAGTTAATGACACTAATATGTACCATCTCCCTCCAGCTAATGACACTAATATGTACCATCTCCCTCCAGTTAATGACACTAATATGTACCATCTCCCTCCAGCTAATGACACTAATATGTACCATCTCCCTCCAGTTAATGACACTAATATGTACCATCTCCCTCCAGTTAATGACACTAATATGTACCATCTCCCTCCAGCTAATGACACTAATATGTACCATCTCCCTCCAGTTAATGACACATATATGTACCATCTCCCTCCAGTTAATGACACTAATATGTACCATCTCCCTCCAGTTAATGACACTAATATGTACCATCTCCCTCCAGTTAATGACACTAATATGTACCATCTCCCTCCAGTTAATGATACTAATATGTACCATCTCCCTCCAGTTAATGACACTAATATGTACCATCTCCCTCCAGCTAATGACACTAATATGTACCATCTCCCTCCAGTTAATGACACTAATATGTACCATATGTACCATCTCCCTCCAGCTAATGACACTAATATGTACCATCTCCCTCCAGTTAATGACACTAATATGTACCATCTCCCTCCAGCTAATGACACTAATATGTACCATCTCCCTCCAGTTAATGACACTAATATGTACCATCTCCCTCCAGCTAATGACACTAATATGTACCATCTCCCTCCAGTTAATGACACTAATATGTACCATCTCCCTCCAGCTAATGACACTAATATGTACCATATGTACCATCTCCCTCCAGCTAATGACACTAATATGTACCATCTCCCTCCAGTTAATGACACTAATATGTACCATATGTACCATCTCCCTCCAGCTAATGATACAATATGTACCATCTCCCTCCAGTTAATGACACTAAATACTCTAAATTGAGAAATTATTGCGATTTTTGAAGATTTAACAAAAATGTGAGTTTAATTATTGCAATTTTATGAAAAGCTACATACAAATTTGATATCAGAATGGGAGTTCTTATTATTGCGATACATGTACTAAAGTAGGCACATTATTTGCATAAATAAAAAAACTTGCAATGATTTCTCAATTTACAGTACATGTACCAAGAATACTTCTGTCAGCTACTAGATTTTTAGAAAGATTTAACAATAAATTTGGCTTCAGGTTTATCCTTTGGATTCTTAAAATTTTTTTTTTTAAATACAGCATATTACATTTTTTTCATTAAAATTAAACAAATCCACAGTAGATTTGACCGTCTTTGTAAATGTTGACAGCTGTTTTATAGTGGGTTGGACTCATCCTATTAAACTAACTCTTTTTAATATTAATGGACGCAGACGTTTTTTCTTCCAGACCAGATATTCAGTCTAATGCAGATCAAAGCAGATTCTCTTTCTTAAAAAAGTAAGCTTCATCGCCCCCGAGCTTAATTCATGTCAATGTATTCATCTGCTTTTGATGGAGGAAATCATTTCATTGTAAGGGGAAGATTTGTACAATGGTAGTCGGGTAGAATTAAGCAAAAAAATAGATGACTTGGGTCTTCATTGCTTTATTAGGTGAACTGGAATATTCATATGCAAGCATTCATGTACATATAAATATTGTCATTATATTTCTTGTGACTCAAATGTGACTTGACCTTGCTTGGCTGAAATGGCTATGTAACCATGGTGACAGATGAACCTGTTGTAAAGTGGTCTTTTTTCAAGGAGTTTAGATTTTACGCTTTTTATTGCCAAACCGTACATGATGTTTTATTTTCATTCTTTTTTTTTTCTCTTGTTCTGTTTTCCTAAAAATTTGTTCTGATTAAAATACAGACCCTGTGTCGACGCTTCACATACAAGGATTTGACAACACTCAGTTCTACTTTCTGTTCTGGTAATTATAACATCGGCCAATGAAATTTCTGGCTTCAAAATTTGAGGTGTGGATTGTAACGACAAAACCAAAGGAATTCGAAAGGTTTTTAAAATAGAAAATAGAATGGAGTGTTCTAAGACCCTTGTAATCTCAGCGTGGATTCAGATCCTTGTTTTAATCAGATTGTTTTAAAATTCAAATTTACATGATGGGACATTTTTACAATTTAGATCTTAATTGCAAAATTAGCAAAAAAATAAACCCTCACGAAAATTTCCTGCTTTACATTATATCAATGAAAAGGTAACATATGGTATGAAATATTAATTCATTCATTGTCTGAAAGCTGTACAGGTTTACCGTGACCTATAAGTGCTTAAATCCATATCATTTGGACTCTGGTTGATAGTTGTCTCATTGGAAATCATACCACATTTCCTTAATTTTTTGTCGATCCTGAGACTTTTGTCGCAGAAAGCTGGACATAGGGATAGTGATCCAGCGGCTGCATTAACTAACTACTTAAAAGCTTTATATTTTAGAAGGTGGAAGACCTGGATGCTTCATACTTTGTATATAGATGCCTTATGTTATGAAGTTTCCGTCTGTCGTATGTCCATTGTCCTTGACCTCATTTTCATGGTTCAGTGACTACTTGAAAAAAAAGTTAAGATTTTTTGTAATGTTAATTTCTCTCTTATTATAAGTAAAAGGATAACTATATTTAGTATGTGCGTACCTTGCAAGGTCCTCATGCCCGTCAGACAGTTTTCATCTGACCTCGACCTCATTTCATGGATCAGTGAACAAGGTTAAGTTTTCTTGGTCAAGTCCATACATGTATGTCAGAAAGTATAAGCAATAGGTCTATATTTGGTGTATGGAGTGATTGTAAGGTGTACATGTATTTCCAGTTTGGTTTATCTAACCTTGACCTCATTTTCTTGGATCATGTTAAGTTTATGTGATACTAGTAGTGGACCTTTATATTTAGGACTATCAAACATAAAATCAATGGTCAGTAAAGCAGGCCAGACATTTCAGTGTGTGCATTCTTTGTATTATAATAGATTTGTATTGAGGATAATTTAAGGATTTACAGTGCTTCTCATGTTTTCTGGTTTTCTAAATATTTTATAACCCATTTGTACTTTACCTAGGCTATGCATTTAAAAAACTTCAGCCCCTGTTTTTCTCATTTTTTTTTTTTTAATTTACATCTCAAATATACTGGTAAATATTTTGCTATTCTTGTTATTGATATTACAATTTTCCAAATGCTTCTAAAATATTTATTTTCCTTAATACTTTTTAGATGTATGATATATAGTCTAATGAGAAAGATGTAAAAACAATAAAAGTTTGCCAACTTAAACTTGTAGAGAAACAGATTCTACCACTGTATCTTGTGTGAGGGTTTTTTATTTTGAAAATTTAATTGTCTCGAGTGGAGAAGTACCATATTTTTCGAAATACTAAGGATTTTTTATGCAAGGAATAGATTACCTTAGCTGTATTTGGCAAAACTTTTCAGAATTTTGAGTCCTCAATTCTCTTGAATTTTGTACTTTATTTGACTTTTTCTACTTTTTTTATTCAAGCGTCACTGATAAGTTTTTTGTAGACGAAACATGTGTCTGGCATACTAAATGTGAAACCTGGTAAACATATGATGAGTTTATACATGACACTCAATGCAGTGGTAGAATCTATGTTTATATCCCTTTATGTGTTAAAGCTTTGGTTGTTCCTTGTAATTGTGTGAAGGTCAATTCACACTTATCATGTATATAGCTGTTTGGAATACATCATTTTATGAATCCTGAATTAACTCATTTATGAATACAAAAATATTTATGGGAGGTAACTCTTTACAAATTAACAGAACATTTTAAAATGAATGTGAAATAAAACATATAAACAACAAAGCTTAAAATTTTGTAAGGAAGACGCCATCTTCTGTTTGAAATATTGATATTTATATTGCGGAATTTAGTGGCTTAATTTTAATATAAGTCTGAAAATGAAATATATTATTATGGCTTTCTAAAAAAATTCTGAATTCTATTATGATCCTCTTCTTATTGCTATCGCTCAGTATAAAGTTATTTACAAATATAATGCCTAACCATGTGAAAAATAGCAAAAAGCATGACATGAAAGAATTATTTCTTAGTATAAATATGACTTGATACAAATATCATTTAACTAAACTTTGGTAAACTCTTGAATTCCATAAATTTGCAGACAAGTTATTTAAATTTCAAGGTGTAATACTGGATAGCTGCTATTATTCAGGCCTATTCCGTGTTAGTTTTCATATCAAAATTTGTTTGTTTACAAATGGTACTTTTACTTCATACACACTTATTATAAAGTCAGTAAATAGTTCATTTTTTACCAATCTCTTTAGTTCCACATTGAAAGAAACAATTGAGCATCCTTTCTGAAGGAGAGTAAGTGTTATTAAAACATTATTTTGTGTCAAATTCAGGATTCATTTCATGCTTTATTGACAGTGCTATTTCAGTTGATTTCATTTTTGTTTGACATATTTAAACTAAGTTCCAATCCTTAGTACGTTTTTGCTTTTTGGGTGCAAGTGAAAAGTGAACATATATTTTGATGTAGGGTAGGGTAAATTGAAATAAGAATCTGAATTTGCAGAAATAAATCCATTTTTTTTTAACTTTCAATAACTAAAAAGTTACATGTTTTTTTTTAATTTCATTATTAAAAGTGATACTTTCTCATTTTGATATAAATTTAAGTGCCTGTACCCTTTCATACAATTAGTTTCATATTTTAAAGTTTATATATACTAAATATTGTCTCTTGTAAGTCAACTGTATATCTTAATTTATATATTCTTATTCCATCAAGGTTAGGTAATACAAACATTTTACTTCTTCATCTTAGCATCTCTTACATCAAGGATAAAACATAGTTGATGATGTAATTTTCTTGCAAGGTCAAGGGTTGAAAAAAACACCTTGACATGTATGAACAAAGGGAGCTAAATCAAAAGATTTGTTAAGAATTTCATTTCAAAGAAGGGTTTTATTATATTTGTTTTTATACTTGTAGTGGAAGTAGTTTGTCCTCAATAACAGGGTTAAATATGAGTAGTCTGACAGACAGATCAACTGAGGACCCCCACAGCTCAGAACATCTGATAGCTTTACAGCTTCTACAGGAACAGATGGAAGGACTGAAGAAAACACTACAACAAAAAGAACAACAGCTTCTGGAAAAAGAAAAAAAGGTAGGATTCTGCAAAAAAAAAAAATCTACTGAAAATGATATTTACAGAGGCTGTTAGCTGAGGTAAATGATGGAAGGAAGAACAGATACAACAACAAAAAGCAGCTGCTTCCAGAAAAAGAAAAAAAGGTTGGCAATTCTGGGTTTGAGCTAGAATTTTGAGGGTCTCACTTTTGAGTGAGACAACAAACATATTTTTTGTGACAGCATAGAACAGAGGCAGTTATTGCATGGACTTAAATCTGAGACTTAAATACATAAAAACGGCAGTTTTAATGTTTACTTACAATTTTTTTCAGCATTTTATTAGTCTAGAAATATATGTATAACAATAATATTAAAACTTAAGAAAGATGCTTATCACAACAAAAGAGTTACTATTTGACATCTAAAACAGCTACTTTTGTTTGAATAATGTGAACATTGAAATAGCTTCTATCAGCATGAAAAATAGAGTTGCTAAACATCTTTTAACTTCGTAAAGTATGGTTGAACAGATGAAACTCACTTTACAATCCACCTGAGAGATCTAAATAATAAGAGTAATTTTCCTGTCCTTAGCTTTGCACCAAAATGTCCTGAAGTCTGTAGGATAGAGACAGATCTTGAGTAGACTTGTCAATACTGGAAAAAATAAAAAATTGAGTTATATATTTTGGAACAAAATTTTCGTATTTGGAAGTGTTCCTCCATATAGAGGCTTTATCTCATTCATAGTAGAAGTGAGTAAAATGGCATTATTATCATGGTCAAAGACAAAACACATCTGATATTAAATTTCATGCATCTCTGGGTTGCTGTCTCATACACCAATAAACCCCACATCACTTTCTATCCATCTTTAGAATGAAAATGTGTTATTATTTCAGTGACTTTCAATATTTACAATACGGGAGGCACTGTTATTAAAATTTGATGGATGGTTGTATTTTTTTATACAGCTTTAAGAAACGTAGAAAAAAAAATGGTATCGTGGGTAACTTAAGTTGTACAAAAGTGCCTCTTGACCTCTTGACCCAATCCCCATGTACACACTCACACACACACTCACTCACACACATTTATTTATTTTCATTTCTTCTGGAACAGCTTGAATGTTCAATTTCAAGATTACCTTTGAAAAAAAGTTTTAAAAAAAATAATAAGATACCTTTGGTAAATAGTAAATTGTTGTTATGTATTATATAAAAGTTGTATAAAGTTTCTTTAGATTTATCTTTCAATCTTTAAATTTCTTGTGAATTTTTTGTAGCTAACAGAACTGAAGGCTCAGAATTATGAATCAGAGAAAGAGTGGAGAATAAAATTTACAAATTTACAGAAAAAACTTACAGAGGCAACAGAGAACAATCAGGTAGTTTATTTATGGTTCTGTACCCAGAAGGAGTTTCTTAGCTAAAAACTCATTAAAGGCCCATACAGGGTTCTCACTATGGCGAGTCATTGAGTCCTGGAATCATCAAAATCTGTCTCGCACTCATCATTTTAAAAACTGAATAATCCAAAGATGCATCAGGATTGTAAAATGTTGTATCAAATGTGCCCAGATATCATCACTTTACAGAAAAGTGTATAATTAATCTAAATTTAATGTCATTACCTTGCTCAATTTTGTATGGAGACTGAAATAATTAATTTTCATCATTACTGTTGGACTCGCCATGGCCAAAAATGACAAGTCCTTGGACTCTCCTTCAAAAATCCTTAGTGAGAACCCTTGGCCATACTTTTGAGATGAAATGTAGCTGGCAAACTTCCTCATGGTGAAATGGGAAACTTCCTCATGGTGAAATGGGAAACTTCCTCATGGTGAAATGGGAACTTCCTCATGGTGAAATGGGAAACTTCCTCAAGATGAAAATTATCACACAGATAGATGAAAGCAAAATTTAAGAAATTGAAGATGATTAATTCATACAAATGCAAAATAAAAAACTAATTTACTGGGCGGAATCCACAAGCACTAGGGGAATTCATTTTAATTTTACAATCCACCTACTTTTCTGTGAAGGGTCCAAGTAATTTGTTTATATCATATTATTACCACCTCTTCTTGACTTCAGCATTTATATTGAAGAATAAAACAGTAAAGTGCGGCCATTGTATTGTTCATTTAGTTCTTGCATTTCATTATCTTGAATAACAGACTTACAGGACAGATAGTTTAACCAGTCTGCACTGTAGTACAGGGACCAGACACTGTTTGGGGGGAGTACACTGACTGTAGTACAGGGACCAGACTATGTTAGGGGGGAAACACTGACTGTAGTACAGGGACCAAACTATGTTTTGTGGGGAGAACTCTGACTGTAATACAGTACCAAACTATGTTTGGGGAGAGAACACTGACTGTAGTACAGGGACCAGACTATGTTTGGGGGAGAACACTGACTGTAATACAGGGACCAAACTATGTTTTGTGGGGAGAACACTGACTGTAATACAGTACCAAACTATGTTTGGGGGAGAACACTGACTGTAATACAGTACCAAACTATATTTGGGGGGAGAACACTGACTGTAGTACAGGGACCAAACTATGTTAGGGGGGAGAACACTGACTGTAGTACAGGGACCAAACTATGTTTGGGGAGAGAACACTGACTGTAGTACAGGGACCAGACTATGTTTGGGGCGAGAACACTGACTGTAGTACAGGGACCAAACTATGTTTGGGGAGAGAACACTGACTGTAGTACAGAGACCAGACTATGTTTGGGGTGAGTACACTGACTGTAGTACAGGGACCAGACTATGTTTGGGGGAGAACACTGACTGTAGTACAGAGACCAGACTATGTTTTGTGGGGAGAACACTGACTGTAATACGGTACCAAACTATGTTTGGTGTGAGAACACTGACTGTAATACGAAACCAGACTATGTTTTAGGGTGAAAATCAGCATATTTCCGCTCGCAAGTTTATCGCAATCAGCCATGTATAGTTCACACTGGTACATTGTCATTGTCTGCTGCCCCCTTCTCGCCACGAGAATTCAGGTAAAAAAACCTTTTTGTAACTGTTCGTAAATGTCTTATAAAACTCCGATAATTTCAAATCATGTGTGATCTTTTGCGGTATTTTCATGGAAAAACTCGTTTCAATCATCAATTAGAACTTGAAAATGCTTGTAAATGATTCTAGAACACTTCACGAGTGTTAAAATAAGTCAAAATCACAACAACAACAAAATGAGAAACTTGTGTTTGTTAAACCGGAAGTTCAAATAGCAAGTGTAAATGAAAAATATGGCAAGAGTGAATGGAAAATCCGTACTTATAGATATCACTAGAATACGACTTTGAAAGTAAAACAGTTTCATCCTAAAGTAAAATAATGTTAAACATATCAATCACATTAATGTACCGGTATGAAGGATCTTAAGCTAAAACAAAACACATGTGTCAGTTTGAAATACCAAAACGGAACGAATAACCGATTACGTTTTGTAGTTTATACATGGATATGCATAATCTGGTTCCCAGCTGACTTGTACACTTTTTCCGTTCCATCAGTAAATTCAAATGGATTCAAGTTTATTTTATACAAGGCAGTAAAAAGAAAGGAGAAAATTGTAATGAAGCATTTAATTTTGAAATTTATAGTTATATAGTTTATATTAGTTATTGAATAAAAATTGCATATTAATATGGATTAGGTAAATTATTAGTTTTGAATATGATAAGAGCACCTCTACAATTTCAATAACAAACATGGCAGAACGTAAACAAATTAGAAAAATAGAATTTTTCTCTTATTTCTTGCTTATCGTACTCTATAGTCCGCAATCCTGTCTGGCAGGTTCAATTTTGGAGAGAAAAAAATGTGGACTATACAAGCCTGAATTTGGTAGGACATTTTTTAACACCTGATGTTTATGAGGAAAAACTAAATATGACCCATTTTTAGCTCACCTGGCCCGAAGGGCCAAGTGATCTTTTCTCATCACTTGGCGTCCGTCGTCTGTCATCCATCGTCGTCCGTCGTCGTTAGCTTTTTACAAAAATCTTCTCCTCTGAAACCACTTGGCCACAATCATCATTAGGGTATCTAGTTTAAAAAATGTGTCCGATGACCCCGCCAACCAACCAAGATGGCCGCCATGGCTAAAAATAGAACATAGGGGTAAAATGTAGATTTTGGCTTATATCTCTGAAACCAAAGCATTTAGAGTAAATCTGACAGGGTAAAACTTATTATCAGGTCAAGATCTATCTGCCCTGAAATTTTCAGACAAATCTGACAACCTGTTGTTGGGTTGCTGCCCCTGAATTGGTAATTTTAAGGAAATTTTGCATTTTTAGGTTATTATCTTGAATATTATTATAGATAGAGATAAACTGTAAACAGCAATAATGTTCAGCAAAGTAAGATCTACAAATAAGTCAACATGACCAAAATTGTCAGTTGACCCCTTTAGGAGTTATTGCCCTTAATAGTCAATTTTTAACAATTTTTGGTAAATTTTTGTAATCTTTTACAAAAATCTTCTTCTCTGAAACTACTGAGACAAATTTAACCATACTTGGCCATAATCATAATTAGGTATCTAGTTTAAAAAATTTGTCTGATGACCCCGCCTTCCAACCATCATGGCCGACTTGGTAAAAAATAGAACATAGGGGTAAAATGCAGTTTTTGGTTTATATCTCTGAAACTAAAGCATTTAAAGCAAATCTGACAGGTGGCAAAAATGTTCATCAGATTTAGATTTATCTGCCCTGAAATTTTCAGATGAATCTGACAACCCGTTGTTGGGTTGCTGCCCCTGAGTTAGTAATTTTACAAAAATTTTGCAGTTTTTAGCTCACCTGGCCCAAAGGGCCAAGTTAGCTTTTCTCATCACTTGGCGTCCGTCATCGTTAACTTTTACAAAAATCTTCTCCTCTGAAACTACTGGGCCAAATTTGACCAAACTTGGCCACAATCATCATTGGGGTATCTAGTTTAAAAAATGTGTCCGGTGACCCGGCCAACCAACCAAGATGGCCGCCATGGCTAAAAATAGAACATAGGGGTAAAATGTAGATTTTGGCTTATATCTCTGAAACCAAAGCATTTAGAGCAAATCTGACAAGGTAAAATTGTTTATCAGGTCAAGATCTATCTGCCCTGAAATTTTCAGATGAATCGGACAACCCGTTGTTGGGTTGCTGCCCCTGAATTGGTAATTTTAAGGAAATTTTGCCGTTTTTGGTTATTATCTTGAAAATTATTATAGATAGAGATAAACTGTAAACAGCAATAATGTTCAGCAAAGTAAGATCTACAAATAAGTCAACATGACCAAAATGGTCAGTTGACCCCTAAAGGAGTTATTGCCCTTTATAGTCAATTTTTAACCATTTTTCGTAAATTTTTGTAATTTTTTACAAAAATCTTCTCCTCTGAAACTATTAAGACAAATTTAACCAAACTTGTCCACAATCATCATAAGGGTATCTAGTTTTAAAAATGTGTCCGATGACCCCGTCCGCGAACCAAGATGGCCGACATGGCTAAAAAATAGTACATAGGGTAAAATGCAGTTTTTGGCTCTTATCTCTGAAACCAAAGCATTTAGAGCAAATCTGATGATTATAAAATTGTTCATTAGGTCAAGATCTATCTGCCCTGAAATTTTCAGACCAATCAGGCAACATGTTGTTGGGTTGCTGCCCCTGAATTGGTAATTTTAAGAAAATTTTGCAGCTTTTGGTTATTATCTTGAATATTATTATAGATAGAGATAAACTGTAAACAGCAATAATGTACAGCAAAGTTAAATCTACAAATAAGGCAGCATGACCAAAATTGTCAATTAACCCCTTAAGGAGTTATTTCCCTTTATAGTCAATTTTTTACAATTTTCATAAATTTTGTAAATTTTTGTAAATTTTTACAAAGTATTTTCCACTGTAACTACCGGGCCAAGTTCATTATAGATAGAGATAATAGTAAGGAGCAAGAATGTTCAGTAAAGTAAGATCTACAAACACATCACCATCACCAAAACACAATTTTGTCATGAATCCATCTGTGTCCTTTGTTTAATATGCACATAGACCAAGGTGAGCGACACAGGCTCTTTAGAGCCTCTAGTTTGTTATTATCTTAGATATCATGATAACATCTAATATCTAATACTATTAATTATGATTTTAACCTTATTTTACATGATTTCCAAAGCATCAGTAAATACAGGTGAGCGACACAGGCTCTTGAGAGCCTCTAGTTCACATTTTAGACTTGATAGCAATATATGAGGTTTTGCGAATTTTTCATTCTGACTTCCACAATACTAATTCTTTATTGTTTTCTTTTCAGATCAAAGTACGTGACTTAATGAAACAGATATCAACATTATCTAAAGGGAAGAAGCTAAAAGGACTGGACAGTCCAGTCCCTAGCCCTTTAGCATTATAGGACTGATAAAGGCAGTCCTTTAGAATTATAGGACTGATAAAAGACGGTCCGTTTAGAGTTATATAGGACTGATAGAAGACAGTCCTCTAGGTTATTAGAACTTCCCAGCAATCTCAACAAAGGCTTATAGCTTTGTAACATCAGAAAAGATTCATGTGTTAACCGATTTTCTTTCAAGGGATCAATTCTATTTTGATTCTGTGGGTTCATCATGTTACCTGTTGTACTTAGTTTCCAGGATCTCATGAGTAGACGTGAACCAACAATTCAAATGAACTATGGAGTACTTATTTTCTACAAGGTTGAATGCAGAATTTCAAAAAATCATAAAATCAAGTATTCATTAGAATACAATTTTTCCTCAGTCCACGATGATTGTTACCCTGGAAACTAAATGAATCCACAGTATTTTATCAAAGTAAAAATCAAAGTAAAAAAGTAAAGTAAAGTAAAGTTTATTAAAGTAAAAATCATTCAGGCATAACTCTTGTAAATTCAAGTTAAAGTCACTTTGATTCTAGCTGTTGCACAGTACTTTTTTTTAAAACTTCCCAATGGTTTGAACATCTTTTGGTCTTTTGACCAGTTGCAAGAAGATTGGTCAACATTGATTAGGTTTCTGGTGTAAATATATTGTTTTTAACCCTGTAAATTAGAATTTAATGTATTTATATGTATAATTTTAAATATTTATATTTTATACTGAATGTTATCTATTATAATATATGTAAGCAGTGATTTTAAATGCAAAGGAATTTTTATTTTAACTGTTAAAATTGAAAGTAGCAAAGTGTATTTTGCAAAATGGCTGACAACAATATATACTCTGAACAACAAGAAACACACAATGTTTTCCACATGCATTGAATTAACATTAGATTTATGAGAAACTAAAATATATTCAGCATTATTTGATGTTAATCCTAGGTTGACATTAAAATGGTTTTTTTCTGTTAACATTGGAAGTTTCATTCGTCAAATTATAAATCAAAAGATTGATATTGACCTGGTCATTTTCTAAATAATTCTTTCAGAAAATGACAGTTAAAGCAAAATTTCTAAAGCATAATGCATAAAACTCTTGAAGTTGGTGTATCTGTTGAGTTTTTTACCGAAATACAAATGATTGACATTACAATACATGCACACAAAGACATACAAATCAAGCAAAATATGTATTAATAAGCAAGCAGTATCAAGCGAGACAAGATTTGATCATATCAAATAATAAACACAAAACGTATGAAAACTAATAAATGAACACCAAAACATACTGCACACAGATAATCAAAAGAATCATTCATGTAGAGCTTGATCCCTCAAGACCTACACGAGACTAACATTAATGTAATTTTACGAAAATTTGGCAAAATTATCTATGGGGGATAGAAAAAGTTGTTGGGAATTAAAAACCCCAATTTCTTAAATTTGTCATTTTCATTGTATCTGTTCTGTTACATCAAGGATCATTTGTATTATAAACATAATAAATTCCATTTATTGCAAACACTATGGCAAGAGTTATATGCACTTGATCTTGTACTAATTGAAGGTGGTGTGTTTCTTTGGTTGTTCTGTATACATGTATATCAAAATGTTTTTGAATTATTACAAAACTAAATGAAGCCAAAAAAAAAGAGATAAAAAATAAGATGTTGGTTGATTTAAGCATCTCACTCCAGGGTCATTTTTAAAATAAATTCATTGACTATTGTTTGCTTTTCATCCAGTGTCTTTTTTTTTATATAGAAAACTTAAAATAATCAAAGGGGTTGTGTATTTTTTATTTTTTTTTTTAAGTATACTTTAAAAAATGTTGAGCCAAAAATATACATGAAAATTTTTAAAAAAAGTCCATTTTGATTTAAAAAAAAAAAATCAATAACACATACTCTCTGTGAGAAGTCACAATGACACAAGGAGGGTCTGGATGGGGTTAACAAAATACAGATTAACAGGAAGAAAGCAAATAAAAGATAATAATGGGGTGCTAAAATATAAAGAGCAGAGAACAATGAGTTGCCAAAATATAATGAATAGAGAATAACAGGGCGCTGAAATATAAATAATAAAGAATAATGAGCAAAGATAAAGAACAGAGAAAAATGGCACAAAAAATTAAAGAATGAAGAATTGAAATACCCCTAATCGAGACCCTCAAACATGAGATATGCAGAAATGAAATACCCCTAATCGAGACCCTCAAACATGAGATATGCAGCTGCATAGAAGTTTAGAAATTGAAGGTATAGATTAAGCGCAAACTTTCCAAAATTTTCCTACAACAGAAAAAACTTGCGCTTAATTTATGATTTTTAGAATTATTTATTATATTTAAAGTGCTATAACTTTAAGCTTGCCAATATTATATTTATTGAAGAAAAAAATTTCTTGCAAACATGTATTATTGATCGTCCCAAAAATAACTTTTGTATTTATAGGGAGAGAATAAAGAGTTGACTTCAGCTTGCCCCTCCCCAAGACTTCAGTTTGCCCCTCCTCAAAGGTGGCCAAAACTGTTCAAAACCTGTAATACTTGTAAAGTGGTTAAAAGGGGAAGTGGGAAATTATAGGAAGAATTACAGAAACTTTTCTGTCACTCTGTATCAATCATTTTTAAAAAGCCCTTTCCAACATCCCTATGAGCATATCTGGAAGAGTCTTATCTTAAACTTATAAAATTTCAATTATGTTAATTCTATACTGTGGATTCATTATTAGGGCTATTCCATTAAAATGTATGTGGGAGGGTAGGAAGGGACTTTCAAAATATCCCTACAACCAAGAACCATTTTTTAGATAATTTTTCATAATGGTAATAGACGCATGCTGAAAAAAGACCCATGACCCACATTTAATAATTAAACTTCCCTTCCTACCCTCCCACATACATTTTAATGGAATAGCCCTTATTCGTGGGATACAAATTTTTCGTGGATTTCTGTGTGTCGTTAACTACAAATTTGAGTGTTCAACAATGTACAGATTTTCTATAAACTGTTTAGCTGACTTTAGCAAAACAATGAATCCAAATATCCATAAAAATATAATTTTTCATCAATCCACCAAAAAATAAATGAATCCACAGTATTTTACATTGTATTCTAGTGTTCATTAAAATGTGTTCAGAGATAAAAAAAAATATGGATGAAAGAAGGTTGCCCGATTTGTTTATTATTTTCTTTTAATTTATTTATGTCCTAGCACATCATTTTAACAAAGGCTTTGTTGTGACAGTAATGCGTGTGTTTCCCGATCCAATGTTTTAACGAAAAAGGAAAAAATCTCATATTTTCTACTATTAAAAGATTTTTTCAAAGTATCTAGCTATCCAGATGATATCTATTTTAAATTGAATGTTTATGAGAAAGTTTGAATGTTTTATTTTGACCATTTGTGAGTATGGCCTTATTTATATATACCTCAGTGTTTATCATCAACTTTATAGTCAGCCACAAGTTAAATATTTAGACAATACTGTTTATATTATCTTTGAATCGATTTTATAAATTTTGTTTGTTTGTTTATAGCTATAAACTTTAAAGCTAACAATTTTTCTGAAATTATATAATTGATTGTATTTTTTTCACAATTAATAGTTTTTTCGATTAATGCAATTTAAGCTAGAGTTATTTCCCTGTGGTTGCCATGTTAGAGGTCTATGTGCACAAATAAATCAAATAAATCATAAATCAGCAAAATTCAACTTGTTATTCTGATTGCTAGACTTAAGAAAACATTGTTGTCTGTTTTTTTTATTTCTTTAAGCCTTAATTCATCACTAGGATCTAGTAAGTATCAGTCTTACTTGTACAACATGTTTCAATTTGGTTACAGCTCTTTTCATAATGCTAGCAAGACAAAGGTTTGTTTGACTTGCTTGCTTTGTTTGTATCAATGTTTGCTCAAGCATTGTAATTAAGATTGACATCTGTAAACAATATAAGTAGGCGGAGTTAAACCTGTGTATAGGTAAATTTGATTATTTGATAATGTCCAATCAAATTTAAATATAATGTATATAAGTTTAACTCCACCTACTTATATTGTTTACAGATGTCAATCTTAATTACAATGCTTGAGCAAACATTGATACAAACAAAGCAAGCAAGCCAAACAAACCTTTGTGTTGCTAGCATTATGAAAAGAACTGTAATCAAATAAGAAAATCAACCATTGACACCTCCAAAATGGTGACCAAGGGAAATAACTCATTTAGATTACATCATATCAAAACCTATCTTTCACAAGATAACAATATCAATGGTTGAAATTCTAGGATGTCATTGGCTCAGGTGGAGTAAAATCTTAGGGATGGTTGGAGTCTTTTATTTCAATTCAATTATTGCATGAAGACATTTATTTTGCTTGCTATTATAATAAAAAAAGGAAACTTACAAGTCCAGGAAAATTACTGTGTATAAATGGATAATGATAAGCCTTATTAATTCTGGGCACATGATTGGTAGAACATTAGGGATGGAGACTGTTTTTTCCCCCTCCCATCCCTATATGGCAACAATTTTTCTTATTATATGTTATGAATATTTTTTATTATTTAGTATATAGGAAACTATGTTCAAAAACTGTGGATTTAATTGTATTAGTGGGTATACATTTTTCATGAGTACAGATGAACCACAATTTTAAGTGTTCCAAGTAAATACAAGTTTTATATTGGATAATCTGCAGAATTTGTGAAAACCACAAATTCAAATATCCACAAAAATTAAAATTTTCATGAATCCACGAAATATTGTATGAATGTATCAGAAGTGATGGTAAGCTATAGTTTCTACTTAAGTTTTTGTTTACTATATTTACATATCTTGATCACTTTCTGTTGCTAAGCAACAGATATTTTAAGCCAGTTCCAGTTTTATTTAAATTTTTAGAATATATTTTTGGTATTTACTCATTTTAATTGTATAGTAAATGTTATATTAGGTTTTAAATACGTTGCAAAAAATAAAATGTCATATTAAAGGCTAGATTGTTCGCAGCAAAATTTGAAATCTTTAAACCGGTATCCAAGCTATATTTGATGTCCTGTCTTCATATTGGATTAAAGGAAATACTATAAAATCACAATTTGTTTGCAATGTTTTTATTATTGCGAAAATTATGACTGAATAGGTTTCGACAACAAAATAAATGTGACTTTTAAATTTTGATAGCATATTCTGAAATTGTATTAATTTAGTACCAGTCTGCATAAGAATCAGGCAGTGGCAAAAACATGACAAATAAAAACCCACTGAACTTTACATTGATTTCAGTTCATAATATGTAGTAACGCAAGAAAGTACTTTTCTTTTCCCTTTCCTGTTCTAGTAATAGAAGATACAATTTGGTTGAAATGCACTATCAATTGACATTTAAGGGGAGATAACTCCTTAAATTGCTATCATTCTAACCAAAACTTATCCAGAGTTATTTTGAATTACCAAATATATAGAAACGAAAGATATACTATTTCTGGCTCAGAATGATGGTTTCTTCAAAATAGCATGGTAAGGTTGGCGGGTTTTTTCTGACCATGTTATGATTTTTATTTGAATTGCCTGATCCTTACAAAGACTGGCACTTAACCTTGACATTTTTGTCCATTGTAAATTAATCTGAATACTAAATGCACTGAAGAATTTTTTAAAACACAGTATAGTAAATCAATAGATGTTCACTTTGCTGCAATCAATTTTTTTGATACTGTAAATTCAAAAATAATTGCGAGGTTTTTATTAATGGCAATAATGCGACTAAGTGTGTATCGCAATAATAAGAACTCACATTCTGATATCTGATACATATATCTGTATGCAGATTTTACTTAAATTGCAATAATTAATCTCACATTTTTGTCCATTTTTCAAAAATCACAATAATGAATGCACGTAATAATTTCTGAAGTTGCAGACAAGGTTTACCAGAGTTTGATTATTGCTTATGTGTATCTTTGTCTCTTTTGGCAATTACATAGTATATTGTGGTATGGCATTTAATTACATAGTATATTGTGGTATGGAATTCCATTACATAGTATATTGTGGTATGGAATTCAATTACATAGTAAACAGTGGTATGGAATTCAATAACATAGTATATTGTGGTATGGAATTCCATTACATAGTATATTGTGGTATGGAATTCAATTACATAGTAAACAGTGGTATGGAATTCAATAACATAGTATATTGTGGTATGGAATTCAATTACATAGTATACAGTGGTATGGAATTCACTTTAAATGTACTCATTAAAAATTATCATATGCTATTGTTATTTAATTTGATTATAATATAATTAGGGATCTATTTTTTTCAGTGGCTTCCCTTCAGATCTGATTTACAAGATAATATGTGGTTTAAATAATTCAGCTTATCAAGCCTTAAATATCAATTGGGAAAAAATCTGGTTCCTCATTTTCTTTCATGAATGCTTCATACATCAAGTGCAATCAGTTCATCGAAGTATAATTTAATACGGTGACATAATCCAAAATATGCAAGTTATAATGAATTCTGTACTCTAGTATTGGGAAATATTTGCATATTTCTAATTTTCACTATATTCGCTGTAGGCATTTTAATGCAAGTTTTACCCTATGTGAATATTTCACTGTAGCGTAAAATGCCTTGTACAAGACCAAAAACCCAAACAATAAACATGAGTAGGATTGAACTGCCCCTTCTTACATGTCTTAGGCCCAAAACATGAACAAAATTTGACGCAAAATAATCTGTTTCCAGCTGCCTGGTACAGTACAATGTTGTTGACACTATAAATGTTCTTGACAATGTAAATGTAAATAATGTTAGTTCATATGCCAGTATATTTTATCTGATTGTTCCTTCAATTGTTGACCATGTATTATTGAGTTATTTTTTTACAATGTTCATATTTTGTTTTAAATGTTTGACATTTTAACGTCTCATTATAAGATTATTTGTATTTCTAGTTTAGTTGTATCAATGAAAAGTAAATAAATGTGATAAAAGTGTGTGGTATTCTTCTTTTCATGTCATCAAACATGTTTCTGAAATAATAAGTACTTTGCATGTGCTGAAATAGAATTTTACAGACATTCATTCTCTTAAACTTCTTAATCAAGATCTCTTAAATCTCCATAGATCTATTGCACAAATTTCAAAGTTGTGCACCAGCTATTATAGCATCGTCTATTATAGCATCGTTGAATGAATTTCCCCCCTTTTCAAACTAGTAAATTTTCTTTTCCAACAAAATAACCAGAAGTTTTAACTTTTTGTATAGAACTTCACTTACAATTTTCAAACCAGATCCCTGAAATTTCACAGAAAGATTGCACATGTGTCACAGAAAGAATGCACATGTGTCACAGAAAGAATGCACATGTGTCACAGAAAGAGTGCACATGTGTAAAAAAGTTTTGCACCTACTATTGTGTAGTTATTTTTCTGATTTTTGATCACCTGGCCCTAAGCAAAATGTGCTTGCAATCACTTGGGTGTTCGATGTCGACGTCAGCTGTTCAAATACTTGAACCTCTGAATCAATTTCAACCAAACTTGGACTGAATGGTATAAAGATTGTGTTTTTTTTGTTTCTGCCAATAACCAACATAGCCACCATGGCTTAAAATAAAATGCTTGTTTGTCTAATTTCTTGAAATCCACAATAGAAAAAGAAAATATGACAGGCAAAAACTTTCAGAATGTAGAGATATAAATACTTCCCTTTTCTACTAAAATTATCAAATGACTCCTTATATGAGTTATTGCCCATAAATGACGATTTTTTACAAATTTTAATTGTCTCATTCTTGAAAACCACAATAAAAAAAGAAATATGACAGGCAAAAACTTGGAGAATCACAAGAAATCTCGCTCTTACTCTTGGCAATATTTGCTCCCCTGTCCTAGAACCACAAATCCTCTTTAAATATGATGATCATTTTCGAAATAAAGCAATTGAGCAACATATTGTTTCTGCTGTAGTTTTCAAAAGCTTACTTGCAGCTAATAAATAGTCATTAGCTAGTGGAATCTTGTATGTTCAGATATCAATTGTTCTGTGCTACAAGGTTTTCAAACCCCTGAATAATCAAAATTATACTATTTTACAAAACTTAGGATTATATCTTGTGGATAATGGTTGCTGAACAAAACAACACTTAAATGAAATAAAACAAATAATTTATGATCAGTGCTTGCAAAGTCAAAATGTAAACATACAGGAATATTGAAAAACTTTTGTTTTCTTTCATCTTTCAGAAAGTCTAAACAATGGTCAAAGAATGTCATACAATGATTTGTTAAACAATAAAATATTAACAAGTTCAACATAGATACCAGGATTAAAATTTGAACGCAACACGCACTTTACGTCTACAAAAGACTCATCAGTGACGCTCGAATCAAAAGAATTATTGAAAGGCCAAATTAAGTTTGAAGTTTAACAGCATTGAGAACCCAAAATTCTGAAAGTTTTTGTCAAATACTGCTAAGGTAATCTATTCCTGAATGATAGAGCAGCAGTAAGCAGAAAACGTGTAAGCGCACATTCTTTGATGATTGAAAGGAGAAGACTTCTTAATATTCCAATTAAATTCTAATTCGTAAATTCAAACGAACATAAAATATTTATCAAATAACCACAAACTCTTACATGGGAGACGCCACTT